TTTTTCGCAAAGAAAATTAGCAGGAGAAATGAGACTACTTCAAATGATCACTACTCGCTAACGAGATTCTTGAAGCTTCGTAACAAAGAAATCGTAGCAAACTCCTTTGTGAGCCACTTCTCTGAATCGACATATCACAATTTCGATGGTTAGGGAGAGGTCAAAATCCTAACCATTCCCACCGGATGGTAATCTGCGACCAATCGCGATATTCCATGCGATTTTAAGCCTTTCGCTTTCCCAGCGCAGCCTCCCGGCTCCTGATATCATCTTTGCACCGTCGCGATGGACAAAAATACACGTCCGCTAGGGTACTAGTCAACGATCATCGCCGAACATCTCCCGTTGGTGAGCCAAACTATGTGCCCGGTCAATCGCAACCTCTCCCTCTTTGCTTTTGATGATAACGTCCTTCACTTCCGTTCATGAGTTTGATTTTCGTGCCTGATCAACATTCTTCACTCCGAAATTCTGATATGGAATTCATTCGGACGATGGTCCATGAACACCACTACAGCTAGAAGGTTAAAGGTTGTTCAATATATACAGTGGAGCTGTGAAACCCGGCTCGTAATGCTGCTGCTCGGAATTCAGAGTAATAACCGGGTAGAAAATGAAAGAAAAACGAAAACACTAATATGATAAAACATGCTTCGAGACGAACGCGTCAAAAAAACTACTGAATCAGTTTGGATCGACCAGAAACTATGACATTAAAGTATGAATCACAAAATAAAAGGACAAATTTTTTAAATTAAACTTTTCAAATGATATTGAATAAAATTCCAATTATTAAACCGCACTGCACAGCACCACATTTACTTGTATGGTCGAAACGAATTCTACCTATTCCAAGATGTTTCTATCGCAATCTCTTGCGCATATGTACACAATGGAGGATTATATTTCTGACCGGGTTATCGACAAGTGAAACATATTTTCGTTGACTAAAACGTCTGATCTCAGATGGATGCAAAGTAAAACAACAAACGATTTTACAATATATCGTTATTACCTTCAACGTAAGTTCACGGAAGGTATCACATCGCTTCAAATCCTTTAGCGACGACATCAAGAGGCGCAACAGGGCCAATCCGCACGCCGTTTTGTCCGTGTGCTCAATTAAACTCAGGACTACCACGTTAACGGATCGCTGAATAGCAAAAGCGTTGGCGAATTTCTCCAGCCTTTTCTCGACCATGAAGATAATGAGTTCTGCTATGAGGCAACGAAGCGGATTTTCTGTCACCTCAGTAGCGAGCGGGTCAATTTCCAGCAGCTAAAAAAATGATTTTGTTAATGAAAGATAAATGAAATGAAATAAATTCCTTTACCTCAAACTATGACTGATTAAAAACTATGGCTGGAACTAAAGCCAACTCTTACTTTGACACAACAAATAATAACCGTCGTTTAGAAAAACGATAGCAGCAAAATGCAGTATTGCTGGAGTGATTCCAAGTACTGATCATTCAAAGAACGGGAACTACGTCCCTTTTTTTACATTTTCCAAATTTCATTTATCCAAGCCTCAATGAGACTTTTTTGGCGTACCACAAGTTCATGAGGTAAATGATTCTTTCAGAATTTATGTGCACTGTGGCTCCAATCTCGTCGTTGAAGTTTTTCGTTGGAGTATTCTTCTTGTTCTGAGGCAAATTGGGAGCATAACGAGCTGTCTATCAATTGCTTCGGTAGTCGACTGCTGTAGGGTTCATGACAAGTGTTTACGACTAAAGAAAATACCCTGTATTGCCTCTGGATCAGGCTTTCGCTGGTCGTAGCCCGGTCGCTGCGATGTAAGCATGAGTGCTGAATATTTTTTGGGCACTGTTATACTCAAAGACAATTATGATTCAATGAAGCACAAAATGCGCGAAGATAAACATAAATTATCAATCTTCTTCTTCCCTTCCACCACATGAAAGGAGAGATAAGTGAATTTCAAAGAATTCCCCATCGCGTACATCGTAGAAAAGTTGCTGACGCAGCTTCAAAGGCTATTCCAGCCTCTCTTCGGCTTTTGTCATATCTTCTTTCTGTCACATTCGTATCACTTTAGGGGCATTCTTTTAGTCCGTCAATTATTGCACGCTACACGTAAACCTGTAAACTGCTTCCTTTGTACAGTCCTCGCCAGCCTGAAGATTTATATATTTTTCTGCAAGCAGGGCATCTAAATTAGCGATAGAACTCCTTCAGTTTTCCTTAACGTCATTACTTCATAATCGTGATTTCCTCATCTAATACAAAAACAATCAAACCAATTTACAGCCTTTCAACTCAAAAAATCACCTTTGCCACAGACGATTTCCACAGCAACCGAAAACCAATTCTAGCATTATCAAGACCAATACCGTGAGTAACTTGCTGGCGTGTTAATCAATTGATCGTCATTTTGAGTTGTATACAATAGAGCGGGTTTGCAGTTTTATCAGTACGAGTATCAACCAAAAAGTACTACATTTTAACAGCCTCGTCAGAAAGCAAGTTCCTTCCCACCGTGTTACTGTGCAGACGTTCACGACAGGTGGCCATCGAAAAAAACTGCAGTCCTCTTAATTGTGTTGCGCACTTAATGAATCTCCAGTTCTTGCCAAACAGTCGCATCACGACAAGAACAAACCTCATCCATCTTTTAGCTGCGAGCAACTATCTTCCACATTTTGATAGCAAACCTCAAAAACAACAAAAGTATCGATACTTAAACTAGCTACTGTTTCTTTCTCAAGATATTTATATTGGTTCCTTCTTTAGCGGCAAGCACAATCAACTTTAACTTCGGTTTCAAAATAACCTTTTCAAGTGAAGTTAAGAGTTCTAACGACAGTATTTTATCACTGACAAGATAAACTGTTTCATTATCTCTGCACAAAGTCTATATCTTTCAGACATTTGCACAACGATTACTCCTATGACATCAGGTACGTAAAAGATACAGTAATGCCTACTCCGACCTTAACCATAGATAATTTCCCCGCTCCTCACTTTCATAATTTAATTCTAACGGTTTCATTTTGGACCACTAAACTAGCTTCCAGCTATGCCAGTTAAAATGTAGCGCTGGATTGAAAGTATATCCACCGACAGGGTGTGACAGCACAACTGCTTCAGAGGTCTGCTTTGAAGTTCGGAGGTGAGGTGCCGGATTCCTGGGTTTTTCCCGAATTCTACTGAACAAGGAATTTATCACATATTGTTCCCGAACTGGATTGTTCAGTCGGCAGTGTCGAATTTATAACTGACAGGTTCGGAGTTGAGGCCCCGTTGGGTTCATTCGCCCTATCTTTTCTGAGGTTGATAGATGAACACCACTCTATGCTAAAAAAACGAGACCACATCCTACGCTTACAGCATGGCGGTAGACTGCTTTAAAAGTAAGATACTCCTGGCTTATGGCATATAAGCTGAGATTAGCACCGCAACATCAACTTTATGAAAATAAGGGCGCCAAAATGTCTGTCATGAAAGCGAAGGAAGACAGACATTTCAACAGTGACTAACCTTCCTTTCGTTTCTTCCCAGCGATAAAGCTGCGATGACAATGTAATCGGTCACCATTTATAAACAAAGGGAACGGAAAACCATAGGGTACATGATCATCAACAAACCTGATCATCACAACGTAAATAATACGGTATCCCAGTATCTATGATGCAAACGTAAGTGAAAAAATTTTAAGGTAAAAGGATAAAAAACGAAACAGTTAGTTGCCTACCGACAACAAAACAAGGAGCAAATCTTTGCACAGCTTCTCCATCTCTTTGCAATTCATGCTTTCATCGTTCAGATGTGTTTCACGCACAATTCGAAGCTGGCAACAGATTGCGGTAATTAATTGGTCAACATGGCCGGTCAGTTCACTTCTTTTCAGCGGGTCTTTAAGCAGTGCGTCGATCTAAACAATGAAGAACAACTAAGAAGAACGCCAAGCGCACGCAAAATGAAGATAGACAACTTGAAGCCAAGCACATAAGTAATTACTTTCACATGCGAAACATTTCCTTTATATAAAGTATTTATAACTTTAGAACTTCTGTACCAATTATCACTCACAAGAAAATAGCGCTTGCATGGCTCTACACAAAAAAACATTTGATACGCTGCCGATGTTTCAACTTAACTACATTGGCCATTACGGGGAAAAGCTTGTCCTAAAGATAGTCAACGTAATTTGCACGAAAAAATCGGCGGCACCAACAGACTTTATAATTTTTCTGTTCCTTGAGTGGAGAACCACTGCAGTACCATTTCTATTTTAGAAGATAACTAACTAAAATGAGTTCTAGAAATCGTTTATCACTTATAAGAACGCACTAAGTTTCACTTAGTATTCCATGCATTTAACGCAACAAGCGAATTAATTTTTATCTGAAAGCGTTGGCACTACTCTCCGAGAGGGGTGCGTTAATGTTTCCTCCCCTGTTTGTGTTCTACATGCATAGAGTATTCAAGCCCTGCCAAGGCGACGCGTGTATCAGCATAGGAGAAGTACAGACATGAAGTCTGCTGCTTGCAGATAGCCTTATTTGTTGGCATCTTCTAAAGGTGATCTCCAGCGCTATCTAGAGAAGGGTTCGCAGAAGAAGGCGAAGTGACAATCACTCAAGTGACTGAACGAATTTAAAACGAAATGCGCTCTCTCGTTCTCTTGCATGCCGGAACCAATGAAAAATTCGGGTACGTCAGAATCGTGTCGACTGTTGATGGAAAATAGGAGGAACAGAACGAACAGAGAATTTTGATGGCCACCGGGTTCCTGCATGAACTATCCTGAACCATTGTGATGACGGCAGAAATGAATCTAAAGACTAATCTGTTTGTGTTTGAGTTGATGGTCGTCCCCAAGCTCACACATGGCAATAAGACGCGGGTCAGGAGTACAAAACATCTATCCCGCATGAAGTGGGCTTTGTGAAATGAATGACTAGACTCATGCGCCTTGAAATGTTTCAGAGTTCAGCTATTCGAGAAAGTTTCATACGATCGTTGTTTCTTCAGACTGAGAAAGCACAGCTGAAAACGTTTTAGCACGTCTTGCAGATGCTTTCAGAAGGGAAGGCGAAGTAAGTGCTACTTGCACAACCGACAGACAGCAGGGATCGGGAATGGTGAACAATGACCTGAGGCAAATGACTCGACAGACTCTACCCC